AAAACCTTTGGTGACCTTTGATGACGTCACATGACCTCACAGCTGCCCAACAGCAAAACAGACCTCAAGGTAGTGAAGGTTGATCGTATATGAAGTCATGTATGGTATATGGGGCCATTTCGACCCGTTTTAGTGGTAAAAACAGGGAGTTGATTTTACCCCCATTGACTTATAATGGGGAGGTCGCGAAATGGACCTGACCTTAGGTCACCGATATCAAAATTCCGAGATATACAAATTGTAGCTACTAATGGCCTAATAATATCCTGCGACTTTCAAAGGCCTCCGACATCTACTGTAGCTCTGGCACGGTGACAAAGTTGCAAAAAAGTGACTTGAGGTTGGGTCATTCAAAGTGACCTGGTGACCTGACCTTAAAAGGTAGGAGGTTCAAACTTGCACACCATGTGTAAAATTGATGAGGTTATAGTCATACCAAATTTCGCGGCGCTACGCGCCACGGTTTTCCCGCTATTCGCGAAAAACCTCAGGGGGGTGGATATCCGCCCCCCCGTCGGTGCGAGGGTTAATAACCTTGTGTTTGGAGATGATGTGGAAGATTCCAGAAAGTGGACATGGCTCTCTGTAGTTTTTATCCAGATTCCTATGTTTTTATGTTGTGAGATTTCAAACATTTGGTTGGTACCTGCAATATTTAAGGAGAATGTGGAATAGTAGAACACCTGTGAAATGTAAATGTGATCACTGCTAAGTGCCAAGTGCTAACTGTCCATTCTTCAGAAACACATTTCAGTAATTCAAGTTCTTTTTGTCCTGGCATTTTTGATGACTGTATGATGATTTTTGTAGGCAATACTTCTTTGATTGCAGGTGATATTTTAAAGGGACCCTCCCACCTTAACATTAGATTTGAGTTGAGATAGCCAAAATGGGGTCCCTGGCTCACAATTACCGGTTTCGGCACTCACAACATCGAGAAATGCCTTAAATCGGAAATATTGAATTTCAAAATTGCAGCATTTTGATTGAGAGGGGCTAATGCTTAGGAATACCCCTCTGAATGTGTGACGTCAGCGCAAATATCTAACGATTTTTAAATGTTTGACTAAAACGTTTTGTAGCACGCGGTGGTATATGCTATTTGCGCGCAACAACTGCCGCAAACGCCGCACTTCTAAAATAAAGTCGCTAGAAACAGCGGAGATCCCAAAAAGTAAACAAAAGTAAAAGTCTAATATCTTGAAAACCGGTGAATATTTTTCGGTGAAATTTGGTAGATATTCGTTTTCGCTCTTTCTGAACCGAGCGACATCATTTTCATGCCAATTCATAAACTTTTTTGAAGGTGGGAGGGTCCCTTTAACAGTTAGACTGGAATTGAGTTTCAAAATTGCGTGTACTTGTGGGGCCAACTGAGTCAAAATCAGCTTGCTTGTAGTTTTGGTTGCACAATGGGTGCCTGCTGCCTGCTGGGTGGGATGGGTACTGAAGTTGCAAAAATGTGGCATCTCTTGTAGCTTTTGGGGGAAATTTTGCAACTCTTTATCATTAACATCCCAATAAATTTCATTTTAACTAGGCAAAAATGGAATACTTTCTCTTTTTAAAAATGGTTTCACTGGCAGGGTGACCGAAAGTGTCCGATTTTGGGGGGGGCCTGACCGACCGATTACCGAATCGGTCACCATATCTTTTCGGTAACAGAAATTTTCGGTAACCGATTGACATCACTAATACATACTTTGCTGCTTCTCAGCTCTACTCTGTGCAGGTTTAGGTACAATGACAAAAAAGCATCCACCATGGAAGCAGTAAAACTTATGAACGCCAGATAAAACGTAACAATAGGTATTGATGGGTCTAAAAACTGAAAACATGTGCTTATCTAAAAAAAGAAAAACCTCGCTATCTTCAACGATTTTTCAAAGATGTTTTATAACGTTCTTGCCTCTCGCTAGCGTTTATTTGCCATTTTTAAATGTCATTACGATCATCTTGACAGAAGTTAGATGGGAAGGGCCAAGGACCGTTTTAGCCCTCCCAAGCAAATCGCGGATACCCATGAGTCAAAACCGTGTGAGCCACCAGCCTTCAACCGAATTTATCGCAATCGATAACCACGCCTTATTACAAAACCGTGTTCACTGGTATTGCAGATAAAACTGCAGCACGATCTATTGCATGGCATGATCTATGCTCACGTGGAACAGCTCAGTCGCCCCTACATTCACACCCCCGCCACCATGGGAAGTCGTTAGTAAACTGCAACGACTGCCATGTCCTTCCGGCAGCTGGGCTGTTGCAAGGCTGGTGCAATGGCAGGTGTTAGGTTTCACGGTCGGTTAATCTTTATCGCTGCGCATGGTTCATAGACATATTTGTGTGCAATTGAGCGGAGATCGCTGGTCTACTTTAACTGAATGCAATACTCCAGTTACGCTGGGAATGCTTCCTGTTCTTCAAATGAGATGGTGTGCACTTGAACCGTCCGCCGCAGCGCCGTCTTATCATTTTTTTCTGGTCTTCCCATTTGAGATAGACATTTGAGCTAGGAACTTTTCTTAGTGTTCGGTGCTATTTACGAAACAGAACAGCTGATCCGCTTCTCATCTGCCCATACGGAATGCTGATGCTATGATTCGTAACGATCTATGCGTCATGATTTTGTTATAATATTTTTTTTTTTTTTACGTCCATTGGTAATCCGATCTAAATAAGGGAACAGAAAACAGTACGAGACATACCTACTTCATCGTATTTCTTGCGATGCACCCGACAGTCTGCTGTCCACCTTTCCACCATGAGGCTTTCCCCCATCACTTCTAGCCTTCCCCTCCCCATCCTCACTCACCATCTAACCATGCCCGCTCCGCCGTACACGGGCCATCCGGCGGGACCCGGAGCGCTCTGGACTGTCCGGGGGTCGGCGCGTGCGGCCGACGGGGGCAGGTGCTTCCTGCGGCCGGCGCGCGCCTCAAATCTGGCCCGGGCCGGCCAGGGGAGGGACGAGGGCGGGACACTTCCGCTGGGGGACTGAGTTTTATGACAGTGACGGTGCGGGGTGGAAGTCGATTGCTCCACCCCAGCTGTCCGGCGGTCCGGCGGACCACGACGGACCACGGTCCAGGCGGGGTCGGCTTGTGGCCTGGGACAGGGAGTGTCATGGCTGCTGCGCACTACGCAGCCACAGGGTAAATGGGAGGTCAGGGATGTGGCACTGCGCAGTTTGCCCCAGGGTCAGTAGGACACTGGCAGATGCTGATGTGGGTGTGTTTATCGTGTGTGATTATCATCAATCCAGTGATATCGTGACAGCAGATCAGCACCAATTTCATCAGAACACTGCATGCACTGTTTTTAGGCATAGAAAATAAAAAAGTTTGGCCCCCAACACTTCGTCTAAGGAAAGTTTACAATGTTTCAATATTACAAAATAATTATGCTGTTGTCACCTCAATTTTCCATGGGCGTATCAACAATCTTTTCCATGCAGGATGTTCAGTCAGAATGCATCCGCCTATGGCTATGGCAACTTTCCACAGGAAGGATAATTACTCACAGACAAGGGGTGGGTGCGTCATTTGATACAGTCCACTGACACTCGATATCAGCCACCTGTTGCATCACACAGCATGCAGCCCATAACACCTGCATTACTCCTCCCTCCCTCTCCCTCTCTCTCTCTCTCTCTCTCTCTCTCTCTCTCTCTCTCTCTTCCACTCATCGCTCTGTACCCGGCAGCGTCACCCGGAGCCAACAGCAGGTGCATCCATCCTGCATCATCATCATAGAGTCTGTGACCCTACCGCGCCCTTGACCAGGCGGCGGGCCAGCCTGGACTCCGATTACAGACCGGCACAGGGGTGAAGTCCTAGACACCACCGGACTGGACCCGGTCATGACTTTGGACTGGGTCCGGTCGTATCCCCATGGGACCGGACCGGACCGGACGGAATGGACTGGACATAATGTTGTCTTCACCCGGCCCTGGACCAACAAATAGCCGCCAATTCCTCTTGATCCAGTCCCGGACCAGTCCCGGACCATCCCCGGACCAGGCTCTGACCAGCCCCTGGTCCAGCCTCGGAGCGACAGGTGCCCGGCACAGGAAGGGGCGGGGCGGGGGCGGACGAGCGGCCCACGCCACCGCGCGCCGCCGCCCCACGCCGGCCAACGGTTTACAGCCAGCAGACGCCGCTGAATAGGACGAATAAAGCGATAAACTGATTGGATTAGGCGCTGGCGCCCACCAGTGCTACTGCCAGTGTCGATAGTCTATTGTGTCGGGACACTGAAGGGCGACGGCTGCACTGGTGCGCACGGACAGTGGAGGATTAATGGGGGTTCATTGGGCGGGTTCAAGGATGCAGACGTGACCCCGGGCGCCCGTATGATAATATACGGAAGCAGCACTACGGCTACACGAACTGGTGACGATGAAAATGTGCACCATCGATTGTGTCATTAAAAGGGTTCCTCTTCTTGACCAAAGATGAACTTGCGGGACAAACGGTCGTTCATTAGACAAAAAGGAGACTGAAAAAATGGGACAACTTCTCACCGAAAATGATATCAGGGGTGGACATTGGACAAATGTGCCGAGTTGGGGTTGCACGGGCGTAGCAAATCCGTCGCTGCCCTAGCGGTGACCTTGACCTCCGCCGTCTGTTGCGGCCAAGCCGGCGTGGAATTGGGAAAGCTCGTGCTACCCATACTCGGCACAATAATCCACCCCTGAATGAATTGAACTGAACTTTACCTAAAAACCACCATAAATTTGTACCTTGGTATCTCATTATTTATCTTCCTACATAAGCTGATTGGGTCGCTGCATTCTGCCCCAATCACCGCCCGCTGCCCACTGCCCTCGAGACCGTGCCGCCGGGCGCCGGTCAGTTCGCAGCTGCCGCTGTCAGCTACCGCCCGCTCTAATCACATTCCCGGAGCAATTTCTGGCCGGCGCGGCGGCGCGGCTCTGATTGGTCGCCGCCGGTGTGACGTCACCCGGTGACGTCGGGTGGAGTACGCAGCCTCGCGGTGTGCCTCTTCAGTTGGTGACCGGGGTTTGTGAGCGGTGGTGAGGCCTGCGCTGCTGGGTCGGGATGGAGGCGTGAAGTGTGACGGGGCTTCGGATCGGTAGAGCATTGACAGCTTTGGTTTTCTATTCACAGGTGAGAAATGAGTGTTATATTTATTTGTATTGCATGCGGCCTGGTGTGCTGGAAACTGTCCTAAGCATTCCACTATGCAATGCAATTCAAACATTTAATCTTATAGCAGCTGAAAAAGCGACTAGGAATAATAGTATGTGATTGGCTATTGGGGTTATGTTCCTTGCTCTCTCCAAATGTGTGAAATGTGACATTGACGGAGAAGGATGCCGTTTGCCCTTGTGGCGAAGCACGGTTCTCTTCCAAATAACTTCAACGTTACACAATATCGTAGCACGATGCTCTTAACTTCCGCCTGACAAACACATCATCTAAGCAATGTTACTACGACAGTGGACAGCATTCCAACACGCAGAACAGGACTCGAGACACTCTAGAACAAGACAATGCCGGCTAATTACCTGTCGCTAAATAGTGCGGTCTCATCAGAGCACCACGCAACCTGTCCTGTCGCCGGTCGGGCCTTTAAAACTGTAATGCAGCCCCGCGGAGATCTGAGGCCAGCGAACGGCATGCGTCGCCGGAGAAACAATGGAGACTTCAACTGGAGCAGCGGAAGCTAGCACCGGCGACCGCAGCGCGCGGGCGGACGCTAGCACCAGCGCCGCCGCCCGGAGCGAGGCGCCGCGACGCCACCGGCTGAAAACATTTCCGGTGAAACTGCGTCGTCATTATTCACGTTCAAAATAGTTCCATGAAGTAATTGCAGGTGATTTTTGGGGAATTGCGCAAGCAGTGTCGTAGAGCTTTCTGTTGTAAGGGTGCGTATAGGAACCGATTAGTTGCTTTCGAGTCCTCTGTCGTAAATGAGAAGGCTTGAAGTGGCAATGGATAACAACTAGTTATTCTGTTTTTAGCGGAATGATTATTTAAAACATTTTTCACATTGCTTATGTCACGATTTTGTTTGTTTCATATGAATCAGACACTGGTTGCAAGCATTTCTTTTCTTGTTGTGCTCATCTGAGGATGCAAATGCCTTTTTGAAAATAGCTAGCAGTGAAGATACATATCCGAAGCACTAAGATGGCCATGAGCACAATATTGTTCACTGTATACAATGCATAACATTATATCTGACCCCATATCATATGTTTTCAAGGTCAGCGCAATGTGGTAACTGTGGCAGTAGCCGTAGCTGCCTGACGCCAGATCTTAACCCTCTCCATGAACAATGCTGCTCGTAATCGAATACCTTGATATAACTACCCAGAGCCCACATTGCTAATTTGAGCCGGCGACTTGAATACGCGGGCGATGTCTGCATTGTTGCTGAGATAGCATTGTCTGTGCCTGAACAATGCGCAGCTGGGTGCGTTTTGGTGATGTGATCTCCAAGGCTAGACGGACGCACTGTTCAGCGGCACCACCCGTCAGGGTTAGGGCACACTGAGGCCAGGATTGGCAACTGAAGATCCACAGAGACTGGCCTCAGTGGTCCGGCCTGCTGCTATGATGTTATCGATTGCCTTTGTTTGCCATAGAGTATTGACTAGCATATTGCTGAAATTGTATGATGAAAAACTGCGTTTTTGTTTAGTTTTGCAATGATGACTATCTTGCAGATTGTACAGCTTTCCTTATGGCCTGATCAATGAATGAGCGTAGTAAACTTTGAATGACTCTGTCCCACGGGTCTCAGGATTTGTCAATGGCAAATCGTGCCTGTGCCGTATTTCTTTCACAGTTTTGGACCAGCGCCCCTGTCGGGTCGTGACATTCGCTGGGTGCTGCCCATTGCAATCCAGTGATAAGAACACCTGGATTGGCTACCAAGTAATGCTTTGGAATGATCTCCATCGATATATTGTTGACCTGGAATTGTATATCTAAATCTGCGTCTGACACAATTCTCAGTTATGGCATCACAGCGTTAATTTCGCCTGCTCAGTTTTGAAGCTCTCCACATATTATCCCGCATGCATTCCTCCAACAAGCCAGAGACATTGTTTCGCATGAGACATCACAAATCGAGCCAACGAAATTCGAGCTTCATAAGCACCGGCTACCAGATAGTCCATACCAATCTGTTGCTGTTCTCTGAGTCTGTTCTACTCCACGCCTCAACATGTGACCGTTTACCCTGCGTCCAGTACACCCTAGACCAGCCTATGACCCCATTCCCAAATCCCTTTGGGTTCAGTCCACCCATCATCCAAGTCAAGAACCATTCTCCCGGGTCCAGTCCACTCCACGCCCCAATCTGTGCCCGTTTTTCCACCGAGCCCACTCCATGCAGCCTGTAATCATTTTTCCTAGATCCAGAGTACCCTGCACCCCAGTCTGTGCCGGACTCAGTACCATCACACGGCACAGAGGCCGTCCTTCCGGCGGGGGAGGCACGCTCCACTCACCACCGGCGGGCGGACGCCGCCGAAAACAGCTGACTGCTTCCGGCGGGCTGCGCCGGGCGGAAGGTTCCCATGCCGAGTCCGCCGGGCCGGCCGGCGCACCCCTGTTTTGATCCGCTCAGCTCCTGAAACCGAACCGCACTGGGAGAGTTGGAGCCATTCAGTTAAACCGGTAATCGGTCAAAGAAATGAGGGTGCCCTGTTGAGGTAAAGGGGATGTAATTTGTATTTCAATAAGGATGGAATGTCGGCAAGTATTGCTAGATGGCCATTTGTGGTATAGGTAAGATGGGATCGTTAATTATTTCATGGCGTTTAATCTAGGTCTCTCGTTTTTCCCACAGGAAGATGCTGAAGCACGTGCAGGTGCGCTCTAGCTCGTCGCTGCTGCGGCCCGGCGGTCAGAAGGCTGACACGCTCAGCATCAACTCCAACATGAGCTTCTGCTCGCTGCATGAGCCGGCGCTGTCGTCTCGCTCGTCTTCGTACACGTCTCTGAACGAGACGCAGAGCAGCACGGGCAGCGCCAGCGTGCCCGCCGCACCACCCACGGTGAGTTCCGATCTTATCAATTCAATCCAATTAGAGGAACAAGTTACTTCTCATCCATCACTGAGATAGTCGTTGTTGATAGGCATCGCAAACACTTATCGTAAAACTGTCACATTCACTTACATGAAATAAGCTACATTTACTTGTACACGCATGAAAAATGCACAACACCTTTGATTTTTCTGTCAGTCACACTTTTGCAATTATCTGGATTTGCATCTTTATCATATAATGCTAGATGCATCGTGTGTGTTGGTGGGGGGAGACCTCGGTGTCCTCTCGGCTGGATATTAATTAATTCAGGGTGGGCGTGCGACAATGTTAATTACTCACCGTGTCTCACCACTAGCTGCCCGTGCCCTCGCCGACAGGACATCACCTTCCCGCTGTTATCGGTCCACTTCTGATTCAATATCGGTGACGAAGCGAATTTCACACCGACGCCCACAATGGCTACACGACCTTGATGGAAATTAAGTTTGGGCTTGTTATAGTTGTAACGGAGGGCCGTTTTTTGAAAATTAATTGCCTCAGATGCTGGACGATGACGTGATGTTTATAACAACCACGAGATAATGTTTGAATAAACATGATTTGGCACTTCAGAATGCATGTCAATATCAACATTGTTTCTTCTGGTCATAATACCCCCTTGCGAAGTGTGTGGGAGAAATGTTTTGCTGGAAATACCCCCCCCCCCCAAAAAAAAAAAATAGCGTGTTTATATCATTCTCGTAATGTCTTGGTGAGGACAAAATATTCCTTGCATACCTAGGGCAGCTTGTTTACGCCATTTTGTTCACAAGCCTGCTATGTTTACGGTGAGAAAGAGACCGTTAAATATTTTGGTATGTGGCTCTAACCGGTTCTCTCTATTGAAAACGTGACAAGGTGATCTGCCCGTTCCAATATATGCTATAATCGCTAACGACATCGGTAAAGTGAAAAGTGGCCTGCATTCCAAAACAGCTCGGTAGTACGGGTTTACAATGATGTCGGTGGCACGAAGTCGACCTAAAGCGATGACAACTCAATGTGGAGCCCTCAGCAGCGTGCATTGTCGTGATGCAGATGTCAGTCCATCCAACGGTTTGGCATGAATACGTCCGTTTTGATAATGCTCAGAAAGTCAAATACGAGATCCGACAGCGGATATCTTGTGACTGAGCCAATTGAGCCATGCATATGTTACAGGGAGTATGCGATTTCAGTTAGTTTGCAACGACCCTAGGGTGGTTGTAACCTCCCTGAACGATCAGTTTGTTTGCAACGACCCTAGGGACGTTACAAAATAACTGCTCGTTCCGGGACGTTGTAACGAAACTAGGGTCGTTGCAACCTCCCTAGTTAGTATGCAACGAACCTAGGGCTGTTACAAAATAACTAGGGAGTTTAAGAATTCATCGAGTCTCGTTTCACGGGAGGGCCGTCAACAATCTTGTCCAATGAAAATCTTATTCAGTCTAGTTCATTTTAAAAGAAAAGGAGAACAAAAATTGAACATTCAGCTCAGGAGTATATGTGGTGCCCGGGACAAAACACGTAACTGTGATAATTTTGGCTGCATTATATCGCTAGCATATGCTTACATGTAGAAAATATAGTTACTGGGGTAGGTGTGATGGATATCCGTCGCTATCCGTGTGCGGGTTATCCCTCACACTTATAGGGGTGCGGGTCCGATAAAACCCATCGTTTTTTCGCGATTATCTCGCGCTAAAAGCGGCCGATCGTGACGCAACTTTGAGTGTTCTCGAACTTATCTACGTTACTGGGTACACATTCTCTATACAGTTCATGATCCTGAAACCAATGATCTTTGACCTTTGATCTGATTTCTGAGACCATGGCAGACCGAAATGATTTGCCGTTTATGTTAGCGCACTTAAAATTGCGTTTCAAGACTTCTATTGTGATTACATAAAAACGTGCCAACATGTGACCTGATGGTTGTCCCATGCATCATGATGGGTTCCCGCGCCCCGTAAGGGGGGCCGAAACGCCCCCCCCCCCTGTTCTTTTCCGTCAATATCTCATAAACGGCTGGAGATATCGCCACCAAACTTTCAGGACCCCTCCGGGCATCAATTCTACACATTGTGATCAAAATTTTTCCAGAGGCTATGATAGGTTGGCCACAAATAACGTCAGAATGACGTCATGTTCTGTCATTTTCGACCGAAAAAAGACCTTCGCGAGAAGACCTGTCAGGCCTACAGCTTTGAAGATACAGAAAAATGATCAAGACATAAAAGGTGTAGAATTGAAAGGGCTACAAAACTGCTATCTCGGATTTTTGAATTTTTTAGTTTTGACCCCCAAAAATCAAAAAAGTATTTTTTGGATATATTAGCCAAAAAATCCAAAAAGTTTTTTTTGAGTTTCGAAAAAAACGGAATATATGTGATAGCACCTACCGTCTTCTATCTACATACCAAATTTCAGATCGATACCTCGTTTTTTGGCCAAGTTATAGCGAAAAAACTGTTCAAAAATGATGACGTCAAATTTTCAAACTCAATTTTTGGTAATTCTAGACGTCGTAGAGCAAAACAAAGACAACCATTAGACTCCCCGTGACGAGCTGCATCGAATCGATGCCCATTTAATGCAAAAATATCAACTTTGAAATTTGGCCTAATTTGACCTGACCTGACCTGACCTTCACTAAAACGTGACCTAGGCTGGCCCCAAAGGCTGCCTAACCCATTTAATCGCATTTGTCATGTAAAATGGACCATAAAACATGTATCACACGACACTTTCATATTGTGACCCCGGTGACCTGACCTCGCTGTGACCTGACCTGGTATCAGTGACCTCAGATAGCAAAGTATGTGTTTGACGAACAATGTACCATCGATGGTTTTCAATAAATTACCAATTGCAAACGCATGCAGGGCGGGGCTAGGTTATTGGGGTCAGGTCAGTGACGCACAAGTCGGGAAAATCGGGACCTGTTAAAACTTTGGAGAGTTAGGTTGTTACGAGATTTTTCGGGGCGCTAATCACGAATTTCATGTTAGCTTTGATCACCGATGATGTATTGATGCTTTTAGGCCAGGTCGGGTCAGGTCAGGTCAGGTCAACCAGTAGGCGTCTTGCTAGCTGTCCATAGTATGTGTCAACCACCACTGACAGCCTCGTGACATGGTACGAAGGCGCCAAAATTACTTCGTAAATGTTCAAATGGGTGCTACATTCGAAATCAGCTCCAAAAACTAGCCTAGAAATATATGAACCCAGAAGAAGTGAACTAAGGCCATCAAAGGTCAATGACCCTGACCTGACCTTAACGTGACCTTGACACCCACCATAATGCACGGGACCACCATCATTTCACATGTTTGAACGTTTACAATCACAAAAAGACTGGAAACGAGCGGATAATAGCCGTTTTTACGAAGGGCTTCCTGGCGAATGCCCAGCTAATTTGAACAAATCTGCACAAAATGTGTACTTGATGCCTTGATGGCCGTCGTGAAATACTCCTGAGCTGAATATTCAAATTTTTTTCTCCTCTTCTTTTTAAATCAACTAGATTGAACAAGATTTACAACGATATACGAAAGATTGAACAAGATTTTCATTGGACAAGATTGTTGACGGCCCTCCTGTGAAACGAGACTCGATGAATTCTTAAACTCCCTAGTTATTTTGTAACAACCCTAGGTTCGTTGCATACTAACTAGGGAGGTTGCAACGACCCTAGTTTCGTTACAACGTCCCGGAACGAGCAGTTATTTTGTAACGTCCCTAGGGTCGTTGCAAACAAACTGATCGTTCAGGGAGGTTACAACCACCCTAGGGTCGTTGCAAACTAACTGAAATCGCATACTCCCTGTAACACATACAAGTACAGAGTGCTAAAGTAAGTTTTCTTAGAAACGACTACATCTATTTCTGTTCGGCCATTGCTGCCATCAGCTAGGGGAGACCCGGGAGGTATGGGCCGGTTTTGTGGAAAGGCAATTTTCTTCCAGTGGGCAGTGGCTAGCCCGGTTTTTCACTCTGTGCACGTGAAATTGCCTTTCGCCTGCAAAGTGTGCCTGATATTAGGCATCTGGGACCAACTATTTTGCCTTGAGATAACTTTCAATAAATAATGTGCTTTTTCGATCCATAAAAATACACCGGGAGGTATGGGCCATGGCCCGGGAGGTATGGGCCGATGCCATGTTTCATATTATTTTCTCGACAATGAGAAAATACTCGTAACTGGTATCTACATTGATCTCTCTTAGAGCCCAGGAACCGCATAAGCGGCCAACAGCTTACTTCATGGAGGTCTCTTGGGCATATATGTATTTTGGTAAACTCAATCATGCACCATGAAATAAAAAATAATATTTTTTTCTGTTCGAATGAAATTTGAAGTTAAATTTTCAACCTTGCGCGACAAAAATAAAACTTCTTGAAGATGACACTCAATGAAAGCATCTTTTTATTGAATTAGGCTCAACGGGGGTGGGTGGCTCGAACCTCCCGGTTAGGACGTCAAAATTTGCATAGCATCTCAGCTCATAATTTTGCAAGAAAGCTTCAAATTGTCTATCCAGTCTTAAGTTGCATGCTTTAAACTTTATGTTAGCATTGGTCTGACATCATAAAACGAGCCTGGTTCAAATTTATCACGAATTTTCTGTATGTACAGTATTTTACTGGAAGAGGGCAAAAACGCTTTATCGCCGCTCATTGCCAAAGAAGACTGAGGAAGATTTTGAAAATCACGTGGGTTGTATAACGGAATGGCTGCTACCAGTTTACGCGGTCAAATGTGTAAAAATACGCAACACTTCTTCAAAATTGCGATGGCCCATACCTCCAGGGGGCCCATACCTCCCGGGTCTCCCCTATATTTCATATTTGTTTTTGCGTGGCTACATTTCTTACATACATTTAAGTCAGATAAACCTGCATATCGTCTGGTCGGGCAGTTTCTTCACGACCCTCCATTTCCGTCATTGCTGCTCATACTCCTTCTGCTGGCTGGAGCAGTTCTCTGAAGGAACGGCACATGCCGTGGCCACTCAGAGGCATTCCTCGCCGACCGGAGCGGCTCTCATCTGACGTTTTTACGAGGTGTTAAACTCCCTAACGAGCGTCCGTTCGCCGGGCACCGTGTGTGCGGTCAGGACAGACAGGTTGTGGCTTCATGACGCCTCTCATCTAGCCGATCTTGTCCATCAAAAGACCGTTTCATCTACCCGGCTGGAGCGGTCAAGAGCGCGTGTCTACGGGGAGCATCGGCTTCCTCGGTCGTCCCGCTGGGGTTAAGTGGGTTCGCCGAACGTGTGTGGGAGGTACCGGATAGGAAAGGGCTCGTTCGTAGTATGGACAGGGTTCTCCTTATAGGGGCAGCTCGGTGAGAACCACGTGGCCATGACGGTAATGCGTGCCGCGTGGTCAGGTGCACCCAGCACGAGGATGTGAACGGGATGTGCTAAACGTGTCCTTTTTAGGCGCTTCCTTACCTAATAAACTATCCACATATTTATCGTCTTCGTTAAAATTTTCAAAGAATGACTATGGTGAAACGTGTTTGTTTTTTTCAAATTAATTAGGCTGCCTTCCCCTTCTTACAGACGACGGTAAAGGTGTACACGCGCTGTCTGCGCCCCGACCTCGAGTACAAGACGATGAGCGTCAAGTACACAACCACCTGCCGAGACCTGGTGGACCAGCTGCTCAACAAGTACCGGATGAAGCACCGCGACCCGAACCTCTTCTTCCTCACCATGGAGGTCGCCACCAGGAGCACAGGTCAGTCGAGCACCGGAGCGCTGGAGACCACAGGTCGTCGCCTTCACTTCCGCGGGTGTGGGGCGGTCGCATCGGGTCCCACTGCGGGTGAGTCACCTTTGGCATCGCTTCCTCCTGCGCCACAACCGCCGCCGCATCGGCCACAAGTGTGCCGCGCGGGCCGCATGTGTCTTCACCTCAGGTTTATGATTCACCTCCGCACGCAACCTGTGGACAGAGGTGTGTTGCTGGCTTTCTTCCGGTAATGTTTATGCCATTTGTCAGTTTCTGATCCACTTTGGTCTCTAATTCCATTCCTAAAGAGGAGCGAGTTATTCATCTATTTTAGACAATTGTTTGTGTTATTTTCTTTTCTTCCATCTAGCATACCTTAAATTAGCACGCAGTGTACCTACTTTACCGAGGATTGGATTTATCACGTTCGTTCAATGTACAACTACACAATTAAACCAATATACACATTTATCCCGAGTAGGTATTTATTCATCGGCTTCAGTTCTTGACCCTCAGGGTCGACCTTTCAAACGCACCTTCACTCTCTGCCGTCACATCATTGACATTCTGCGTGGGACAGAAGCGGGGCCTGAGAGGGACATTCAAGGAAGTGTTTATCGAGACGGACACGACTACGACGGACTGCTGAGAGCATCTCATACGACATTCAGTCTCTTCATACACCACCCAGGCTCCCGGTTCGAATAACAAGGTCACACGTTTCTGCACTCAATGCGTGTCCCGCTGGTTGTCCTCGCTGTCCTCGCTTGGTGTCCTCGCTGTCCTCGCAGGCTGTCCTCGCCGGCCCAATCGCAGCTATTGGAATGGACTGTCAATGCGTTCTATTGGAGCCGTCAGACGTTTTACTGTATCGACCAGCGCGCTTCAGTGTAGTTTGATGCAGCGTTGATGGACCAAAATAAGTTCCGCGCGTGGTGCGGCTGCGGGTTCAAGGCGAGCGACACAAATAGCCTTGATGGACACGGAGAAAGAACTGTCCTGGTCGCGGGGGAGGCCGGCTGGTCGGACAACACAGCGCGGCTCGGCGATTGATGTTTACCTCCGATAGGGAAGAAACGACCAAATTACACCCATGAAGTCCGGGAAGTCGCCGACGATTATCTTTTCGTCTGCGACAGTAGTTTTTATGTGGTGAATATAGAGCCATTGTTCGCTTGCAATAGTGCATGTCAATGATGGGCCGCCTCTGCCCGTGAGTACCTGACATTAGTTATGTAATTATGCATTGTGCAACTGTGCATCTGAGCGTGGCATCGCGCCCATTAGACTGCGAGTGTGCGTGCCGAATGCCATTGTGGCGCGTTCGCTAATTCCCACCTGTCGCAATCTTCGGCGGGACAAGCGCGCCGCGATTTGGGTGCCACGCGTGCGCGACATCGTTGCCTGGGGCGCGTGTGTGGTGGGTGGATGACACTTAGCGTCCTAGAAAAGTCACCCATATCCCCCAACACCGCCTCAATGTCATTGATGACATCGTTTACAGTGAAAATGCCGGTATCAAACCGATCAGGGGTCACGACGGGTCAGCTCGTGGGGCCAGCTGAGCTCAGTCGTCGCGGAATTTAGACAATAGCCACTGGACAATGCTCGGCTGGCGGACTGCCACACTGAACCAGTGGACCACTTCCACCGCGTGCGGTCCTACTTCTGTCCGGTAATCGCCCCGCCCGCCCGTGACCCGCTCTCGTGACAGTGCGCTGATTGTGGAGCACACTACCGTCCGACCGCCACCTGCTGGGAACTGGACCACCCGAATGACGTCTGTCTCGTGCCGTCTGTCGCCAGGTGCCGCCGTGCGGACCATCCTGGTTCTGGACGACGACTCGTGTCCCGCTCAGCTGCAGGCCTGCTACCCGAGAGCCGACTCTAAGTGAGTATACCACAGAATGAAGGCAGCTCGAGCTGTGTAACCCGTTGTTGTCCAACCGTTCTGCTCCTCACCACCGTCCTAGTCCAGTTCACACGGTTCCGCCGCTCTCCGAGAAGTTCCGGGAGTCCGCAGGCGGCCCGCACCACTTCTCACGGGTCGTGCACTGACGAGTGGTCGCTGGCCGCCCTTCCGGCGAGGCGTGAGCGCGTCGAGACAGACACTCGCCAGTAGTCGGAGTAACGGTTCGCTCGTGCGGCCGGCCCGTGCACCGCCTCGCGCAGTCACGGCACGGAAACGCTCCCACGAATCGTCACGTTCGGGCGTCACGAGATGCGTCACGTGACACTAGTCCTCAGGCGGTGGCGATTGATGTGGTGGACACTGGTCACGTTTGCTGTTTGCTGACCATGGCTTGTGCGACCTTTTGAACGTGGACAGTATTTTCGCTGTTGACTTCTGCATTAAACTTGTACTCCGTTCTAATTTTTAGTCGAAGTTTTTATATTTTTACCGCTCAGTTTCCCAGCGTGTGACATTCACTCACTACCGTCCACTTTCAACACAGCACGTGCTATTATCCCCCTCCCTACCACAGTCCACCTCATGCCACATGTCCCGCTTCTGTCCACTGTCCAGTGACCGGTATGTGGACCACCGTCCTCTATCTATATTGTCCCGTCCCCGACGACTGCTCGTTTCGTTATGACAGGCCGTCCCACTTGTAAACGCGTCTGTCGGTCTCTGCCGTTCGCAGTCGTTCGTAGAGGTAGAGCACGTGAAGTGTGACGCCTGGCCGACCAGCTGCCGCGGCTAATGGTTTATGTGATCCATCATCGAAATGAGCCCCAGATGAAGGGTCGACCGGTGTCGGAGAGAAGAGAGCTGAAAGCGCGGGCGCACAGTGTGTTTATAGGTAAATGGATCACGCAGATAGGCTGAATGGTTGGTGATCAGAGGTTATTTTATCTCGTTTAATCTGTTATGGTGAGAAAGTCAGCCGTTTTAGTTACAGTCTATTGTGTTTCACTCTTTCAATAACATCTTTTTCGACCAAGATTACGTTCAGCATCGCTTTACTTTGATAATGACATATTTGTAACATTTACAACAAAAAATTATCCAGCAATAATTTAATTGCAAGCGCACATATTGAAAAAGAAACATCATTCGTGGGATACCTTACGTGCAATTGATATGAACAAGACATTCCCAGGACTGTAAGCTATAGCACAAAATATTTACATACATAAATGGTCGCACAGTAGGTATCGCTAGTTCACAGTTTCCCATAACCACACATATGTATGTAAATTTCCGGTCGCCACCACCACCTGACAAACGATTGGCTGTTAAAACTATGTCTCCCAGTTTCCTATAAATTGCAAATCACTAACTTTCCGTCCGTCTCGTGTTACAGGTTTACGGTACGGATGAGGCGCGGTGGCCTGGTCAAGGTGTTCGACAGTGTCCTCATGGCGGGGGTATGTACCGAATCTACATTTTGATTATCATGGTTAAATAGAGCAGCTGCTTTGGTATATCGAACGATGAGAGCTGCGTTGAGCGAACCCCGTGGGCCGCTGATTTGTGTAGCGTATCGTCGCAGCAATCACAGACGTCGCAGCATTATTAATCATCGCAGCATTAAATGGAAAATGAATTGTTATGACATTGCATTCAGCAAAGGTCATGCGCAATGCACGTTTCCTCCTAGTCCTAACAATGCCCCTGTTGTCATTTCAGTCGAAGTACAAGAGCCTGCTGATCTCTGAGCGCACCACTGTGGATCAGGTCATCCAGCTGGTCCTCAACTGCTACAACTCAAACGAGAACGTCAATCACTTCAGCATATACGAGGTACGGTCCACATCAGGGTGGTATGGGGATAGACGAAAGGCCAGGTCTATTCGTTTACTTCACTGAATGGTATACCTTGCGGAAGGTTTGCACTTTGCAGGGACATTGCAAATTTCCTGTGCAAATGAGGGTCAACTCGAGACTAGACAATTAGTAGATAACTGCTGGGCCACTCTTTTTACCCTCGTTAACCTTGACTGTTATCTCTCCAATGTTTGAATACCTTCCCGTTTCTGCAGGTGTGTCACACGACGAGTTTCGAGCGCAAGCTGCACGCCGACGACCGTCCGCTGGCCATCCAGCAGGAGTGGTCATCTCCAGCCGAGTACAGCTTCGTGCTGATGAAGCGGCCGCCGGGCACGCCGCGATCAGGACGAGACTTCCCGCTCAGGAGATCGGTGAGTGTTGGGTTTCATTTAGCATAAGCGTAATTGATTGTCTAGTTTAAAGTGATGCATATTCTATTTTCGCTGTCGCGATACTTCATTCAAGGTGGGTGGGTTATGTAATTTTTAATCAGCTGACATCACCAGCTAATCAGCTGACATCAGCGTTGGGGGCGGTTCCACCGGCTCTAATCCCACCCATGCTGACTCGCTCCCCCGTGGAGTCCCACCCGCGGCCCGCCTAAAGGGCGGCGAGCTTTGTTTACTGTCAAATGACGTCATAGGATTTCATCACAGTGAAGTGATACAGTTGGTGGTATGATTAGTCCGAATGGATTATATAGAAATGACGGAAGGAAGTTACGCTGGGGTGAACCCAACGGAAAAGACAGCGCAAACGATTAGATAGGTCAGCATCTGGTGTGTTTACCCGTGGTTTACCCACATTGCCAGGAAACTCAAACCTGTTTCTTGAGTGAAAAGCATAACCTACTTGATTCCACTTTTGGATTCGAAAAAATGCAAGCAGGAAGCCGAGACCCTTTCAAAACAATATTTCATCTCAGATTTCCTTTTTATTTCCAACGGAAGCAGGTGGACGCGGGGTGACAATGCTCCACCATGGGCTCACAAAGCCGACTGTTAGGGTGGAGTACCATTGGGGGGGGGGGGGGGTAGCGCCCACCGCGCCCACCCCAGGTCCAATTGTCTCTGAGCCTCGAGCACAGCGGAGGGTGCCGGCAATGATTCATGGAGAGCTTTGTTCCCGTGCGGCCAAAATCGACCGGACCAAATCGGCCCATTACAAACGATGACTGTGACGTTATGTATAGAAGCATTATCGCACTTCCACCCTGCTGCTCGTGCGCTGTTGCTTTGGTCACGTGAATCAATGTCATCCCATGTCTGTGGTGTGCTGCTGTGTTACCAGAGGCCACCCAGCATTGCTGGTGTCCACTGTGTCCTTCGCTGGCTGAGTGTCGGTGATAGCACAGCGTAACCTAACCATCTTGTCCCGTGTCTTCCGTCAGTTCCTGCAATGGAGTCGAAACCGAGGGATGCTCCGGCCCAACATTGAGACGGCCGCAGCAGAGGAGCGGAAGGCCAAGGGTCTCCGGTCGCTCTCACTTTCACTGGCTCCCTGCTCTGACTACGATAATTTCCTCTACATCTGAGCCACACGAGCACTACGCGTGTGCAGCATATACCAAAGGTAAGGGGACGTGCCCGTCATGAGCTGCACTGCTGGTAAACGATACAACTATAACGACACAACTATAACGACTTAACTATATTATATCCATGTTTTTATAGACAAATATCTACTTGCTCTAACTATTGTTAGAGCAAGTAGCTCTAACTATTGTACTTGCTCTAACTTTTGTAATAATAGATATGATTTATTTCTAGCTAGCCGGTATGTAATGATGGTCCACTGACGTTTCTCTCTCCTCTTTTCAGAATGGTCTGCCAACATGTGATGGTTGACTTCACTCCGGCTCGTATAAGCTCGGATGCGTTAATTCGGTTCTCAGTTCAAAACCGTCAGTTCAGCTTTGCAAGCTCAGCAGATCGTATAGCAAAGTGCAGGCACTTTGCTGCCTGCTAGCAAACGGACAAAGTGCAGGCACTTTACTGTTACTCTATAGAGCTGAAGTGTTTTGTGTTTGAATGTCCGACACCAAACGTGGTTGTTTGTTTGATATTGTTTCACATTGTTGATGTGACGTGCGTGTCAAGACGTTGTCGGCGTTGTATTGTGGAGACGTGCGTGTTTATTGAATTATTTTTAGCCAAAACATGACTCTGCTTCGTACATAGTGACGTCTTCCGGATGAAGCCTACTGGTAGTCAACTACGCTAATTTAAAACTTGACATGAACTATGAGTATCGTTATTATTTAAAGCAGCCTGTCTGTGTGTGACTGAATGTTCCTGCTAAATTATTTCAATCTCCCGCCATTCGTGTAGCATCCTTTGTGTAGATGGTTTAATTTATTTCTAGTCACTGTCGTTTGAGAGATGTAAGTTATTGTTGTTGTCGCTTTTTAATAAAAGGACGTTTCGTTTATTATATTTGTAAGCACGAGGACGGACTTAGTCAGGGACCGGTCAAATCGCTCAGAGGATGGAGTCGCATAAGCTTAAAGGCGCTGTCGCGAGGCGCGGGAATACTGTTTGCACATATGCGTTTTTCACAGGTTAGGTCAAAATGGACACTTTTAGTTGAGCTTGATGCTCTCAATACGCGATAAACGCCGAGACAGCTGAGGACTACGCATTGAGCACAATGTGTTTCTAAGTGAGTGTAGCAAATCCGAAATCAATCAGAATGAGGAAAAATCTGTGGCATTGGAACACTTTTTAGGCTTTAGAGGAAAATATTCTATGATAATTGACATTAATGAGTGCAATCTCTGATATTTATAAGAGTATAACAATGAGCACTGTTTTATAAAGACATATTGATTGTTGTCTTCAAAATAAAACATTTTAATGAACACAATGAACTAGAATGCAGGAAAATTTTGAATCTTGGGCCCTTTCTTCATATCATTGATCTTCAATTCAGACAGCCATTTCACTGACCGTTGTCGGGTTGAACAAATAAAGATACGTAGACAAATACCTCAAATAAAGCTATTTAGTTGTCGAGTGGCGCTTGCAATAATTATGACTCGCTATTTGTTTGTGTGAAATGCGATACTCAGTCCGAAGACCAACCAACTAGCCTAAAAAGCTTTAAAAAGAGGATAAAAAAAACACGAGATAATCATGGCCACGTCTCAACAAGGATCATGTAACAGAATTCAGCTGATCTCTGCAATACTTCGCCTTCGCCTCGCCTCTCCTACATAAGGCAATGGCCAAGGCTGTCCTCGTTGATCATAGATATCGTCGCCGCCTCGCGCGTCCGTCGCTGCCGACGACTGTCGATGTCGTCACTCCGGCGCCAGCTGTCGTGCGTCGCGTCGCGTCTCGGGCGGCAGCTGCAGCCGTCGACGGGGCGCCGACGGGACCGACGGGGGCCGGCCGACGCGACGGCTCCGACGCCACGGGGTCCGCAGGAGCCTCCGACACGGAACGGCTGTCAGTGGTGTGGCGAAAGGTTTGCAAATAGATCGGAAGGCAGGGCGTTCCGTTATGTCAACAGGGTTACAAAACAATGCCGGAACAGTTTGCCGGAAATGTTTGAGACTTGGCACCTGGCAACCTGCGTGGTATTTGCGGTGCTACGGGTAAACGATTCGCATGTCAGTCGCAAAGATAATAGCGTGGTCTCTTATCAAGATCACTCACAAGTCGAGAAGTGCATTATACTTTACCCGTGCTTCTAAGTTATTCCTCCACTTTGGACATGTCCTGGGTTCAGATTCCGTCTTCTCTCGCACACGCGCACCCAATTCACGCACGATTATGTTGATAATGCAACAACCTGTCGAAGCGTGCACGTAGTTTCCTTCGTCACTGAAAAGAATGGACGGAAATATAGTTATAGGTTTGTCGCCTATGTGACTGGCGGAGGAAGAGTGTATATAGGTAACCTTGCATGAACAGTGAATGATCATTGATCAATGATATCTCAGATTAAGTTTTAGCTACGAAGACAAGTTGGTGGAATAAATCTACCTTGCGTGCGATGTTTTTACGTATAAACTCGCACATCTATAGCAGTATATAATTTTCCCACTTCTATTCAAACCGAAATGGAAATGGATTCTGCACAGCTCGTGTTTTTCAGCTTATTAACCCTCACCGGACCTATTGGTTTTCTACATACGCGCCGGCCGAGGGGGGGGGGGGCGGGTACGACCCCCCCTCGCCGTTTCGCCCCTGGTGGGGCTAGCGCGTCGCGGTAAAAACGAGCGTGTGCGCCGTTACGAGACGCAGAGATTGGTACCCGATTTTAAGGTCCTAGGTCAACCGGTGACCTCTGAGGTCAGGTCAAGTGCCCCAAGGTACGGTTCAGTTTTTTGGTGAATAACTTCGCAAAAAACGGCCGCAGAGCGCCGATTTTGGCAGCATCCTGTTCGCCTCGCTCAGGCGCGTCGAATGATTTACTTTTTGTCCGGGTCAGGTCAACTTGGGGTGTTGACCTCAGGTCAAGGTCAGGTCAGCACCCCCAGGTCACGAAGCTGGTCGAAAGAGGTCATGTCGCATATCATTCGATTTGGCAGGCCTTCCTGAGTCCATTGGTGGCTTTCCCGACTCGCTAGCTCAATTTGATCAAGAGTTATTGACGAAAAACTAATATGACCTTGATGACGTCATAAATGACGTCACGCAAGGTCAACATTGCAAAAGTGACGCATCTAACCTTGCAAGGAGTGCATCAAATCACGATTCTGTGTGCTTGAGATAGTTGGAGATCGTTCCCGGCGCCAGAATAGCAGTTTTCATTTTTCCCCATTGACTTATAATGGTGAGGTCACGAAAATGACCTGACCTCATATGACCTTTAGGAAAAATCCGAGATATACAAGTTGTGGGACTCATAATGGATACTAGATCCTGCAAGTTTCATTTCCCTGTGACATCTCCTCTAGCAGTGAGGGCGTTGCGAAGTTGCGACATCTGAAGACCGTGCAGAGGTTCACTTATGACGTCATAGGTCAGTGACCTGACCTGACCCAAAAATTCGGTTGGTGTCAAAAGATGCGGCTTGGATCAAAGGTCAGGTATGCCAAGTTTCAGCTCTCTATCGGTGTTCGGAGCTATCGCGAAAAAACCCTAGGTGGGGGGGGGGGCGGCACCCGCCCCCCCCCCTCGGCCGGCGAGGGTTAAACGGCAGGGTAGGTATCGTGGGCTTAATAAGGAAGAGTTGGGGCAAGTTTCGCCTGCATAAACCGCACAAAGATGGTTTCTGAGACAAAAAGAGAGCAAAACAAGTGTTTGAGTATTTTGTTACGCTTGAGAGCTTCCGAACCATTTGGTAATTCGATTTCCTTTTCATTATTACATCAGCGCAGCAGCTGAGAGTTCAGATAAAACCGTCCAATAAAGCTTTCTCCCGGCTTCCTTTATCAATTCACTACGGGGGCAATCCCCACATCCGGTGGACCTCGGATTCTCTCCCCAGCCCGCTTCTGCCGCACCCACAGGCTCTGAAAAAGGGGTGGAGGAGAGGGGAGAGAGGGGGAGGGGGCGGCGGAAGCTGCCAGTCGGGAGACACCCGATCTTCCTACCAGCGTGACGCCGCCGTCGTCTTTCACCCCCTCTGTCTCCTCCCAACCTCCATGTGTCGCTTCCGTCGGGGAGAGGGAGGGAGGAACGACGAATAAGACGGCAAAGACACGACACAGCCGCGACGACCTACCGCACATCGGCGGCCCGTGCCACGCGCCGCGAGCCACGTGTGGCGGCCCGGTGAAGACGCACGTGTTGTCGCCGGTCTGTGAGGCACGTGACAGGAAGCCGGTGTTCCGTCGGGCTCGGTGGGGCCTCTCAGAGCCGCGGAGCTGGTAAACAAACAGGTCTGGAAGCTGCTCCCCGGATCAGCAGCCGGGCCACGTCCGGCGGAAGCGCGCCTCCGCCGCCCGCGGTCAGAGGTCAGCCCCGAGGGCACCGCCGACGCGCGCAGTGCTTATTTCAAGGTGTTTGTGAGGTAGAGTTTAATTACTACGCTTCGTCACTTTCATCTGCGGAGTTCCCATTCCTTGTGTTTTTGAATGGTGAACATATTTTGGCCTTGATCATATTTGTTGAAAAATTGGATAAATGCAGACCTGAGAAACTACGTAGGCAAAAAGAAAGCATGCATCCGTTTCTGTTATATCATGAAATATTTGCATCGGAAACATGCCATCAGCACGCCGTTGATGTTCCTCCGCGTATGACGTATATAATATATTTTCTCCCGTGATTGAGTGGGTGCACCAGCGTGACCCGAGTTCCTAGCGAACGTCAGTTAAAGACAGTGACGTAAAATAATACGTCACAGCCGACAAAGGCCACAAACAACTTTCCCTGCGCGCCTTTATAACGGCTCGGTGTCAGAGTAGATGGCCCAGGAGTTCACCTCTGTTACTGCTGACGAGCCTTGAAATTAAAAAAGAAACCTCCGACAGACAAAATATTTTATGAGAAAGCGAAACCATGACCAAGAGAGGCTGCTACGAAGCTAACTAGAAACAATACGCCGCTCTTTGGCTGGCCGATGTTTTTAATAACTCGCAAAGATAAGGTCAGCTGGCTATCACTTCATGCCTCTGCCCTCTTTATCTTACTTATTTTTGCTACATACGAAGTTTGTTCATCAGGGGAAAGCGATTATGAAAAGCAGCCTGCAATAAAAAAATGATTTTCTAGTCAGCCAAATGTTCATCCTCAACATCCTCAAAGTTAATGTTAGCTGATCGCTCGACCAGGAGATACGCATCTCACAAACGTTCTGTCGGTCATACTTTCTAGTTTTATACATCGTAAGCTACCGGCCACCACCCAACAATTACCCCCAAAAGCCGCTCATTTACTGGACAGATCACTGGCGAAGTGTCTGGAGCTGCGGATCATCGATCATTTCTATTCCAGCTGGACCACATTCCGCGCGTGTCTCAGGGGTATAATTGATTCAATCCATCATGTTCTGAGTGTTATTTATCAATCCCGGCGCACGAAGCCAGGGCGCACGTCCCACATCTTTTTCATGGCGCTAAATACTGGTCGGCGATCGTTATCTGGGTTTCTAGCCACCATTGTGCGCTTTGTGCGCGGTCCGCACCGCGCCGCTCTTCCCTGCTGTTTTTTAGTGAGGAGCTGCGGCAGAAGTCATAAGAAGCTCTCCAGAGCTCAGGAAGAACTGCGCTGTGTTTGTGTGGCATGCGTCATTTTCTACAGAAAATGACGCTACAAAATCTACATTTGAAAAAATCTACATTTTCTACAGAAAATGTAGATTTCATGCTGCATACCATTACCCATTTATTTCAGATTGCAGCACGAGCAATTTGATTGGAGCTTTTAAAATTCGTGACAACATAGTTGCCAGCACAAGACTGATCTATCAATTGCTGAATGAGCAAACAAAGCACATTACATTTTTACCTGATTTACTGTTTTATCACAGATAACCA